AAAACATTTAATTTGTCAATTATAAATGAATTAATTTGATAATTGCAAATGAAAAAAAACATTTAATTCGATAATTATAAATGAAATAACGTTTAATTTGATAATTATAAATGAAATAACAATTAATTTGCTAAATGAAAAAAACATTTAATTTGATAATTATAAATGAAATAACAATTTAATTTGATAATTATAAGCGAAATAACATTTAATTTGACAATTATAAATTAAACTATAAATAACATTATAAATTAAATAACATTTAATTTGATAATTATAAATGAAATAACATTTAATTTGTCAATTATAAATGAATTAATTTGATAATTGCAAATGAAAAAAACATTTAATTCGATAATTATAAATGAAATAACGTTTAATTTGATAATTATAAATGAAATAACAATTAATTTGATAATTCTAAATGAAAAAACATTTAATTTGATAATTATAAATGAAATAACAATTTAATTTGATAATTATAAGCGAAATAACATTTAATTTGACAATTATAAATTAAACTATAAATAACATTATAAATTAAATAACATTTAATTTGATAATTATAAATGAAATAACATTTAATTTGTCAATTATAAATGAATTAATTTGATAATTGCAAATGAAAAAAACATTTAATTTGATAATTATAAATGAAATAACGTTTAATTTGATAATTATAAATGAAATAACAATTAATTTGCTAAATGAAAAAAAAACATTTAATTTGATAATTATAAATGAAATAACAATTTAATTTGATAATTATAAATGAAATAACAATTTAATTTGATAATTATAAATGAAATAACATTTAATTTGATAATAATTATAAATGAAATAACAATTAATTTGCTAAGTGTAAATGAAAAAAACATTTAATTTGTCAATTATAAATGAATTAATTTGATAATTATAAATGAAATAACAATTAATTTGATAAATTACAAATGAAATAACATTCAATTTGTTAATTATAAATGAAATAACAATTAATTTGCTAAGTGTAAATGAAAAAAACATTTAATTTGTCAATTATAAATGAATTAATTTGATAAATAAAAATGAAATAACATTTAATTTGATAATAATTATAAATGAAATAACAATTAATTTGATAAATTATAAATGAAATAACAATTTAATTTGATAATAATTATAAATGAAATAACAATTAAAGTTCAGAAAAGAAAATGCAACGCAATGAGAAGAAGTGCTAATGAATATGTTAATAAAAATGCTATATAATAAGAAAATTGTAATAAATATATTTTATTGTTTTATACAAAATATTTTCCCACTTTTAATAAATTGCTCTTTATGATCAATTAAAACCGCCAAATATTTTTTTCTACAACCAAATGATATTCTAATTTAATGATTATATTTTGCAAATAGCTAAGATTAATTGATTTTTAGGACTTTTTTTTTTTCTATTTAATTTCAGTATATAGATAAAGCAGTAGCAAAATATTGAAATTATTCTGAATAAGATTAGCTCAATCTAATGCTATCTGGCATATCAAAAGTAAAAAATTTTAAATATTAGCATTTTTTGTGATGTATAAAAATAAGTTAAAATGAAAGAATTTTAATGAGTAAATTCTATATTGGTCAAAATATTATTATTATTATTATTATTATTACAAGCAAAAAATATTTTAAAATCTTAATAACTTATGCAATATTTAACAAGTTATAGGTTAAATTTTGAACCAAATTGAATTACAAATTGAATTTTAGATGAAAATAGAATGTCAAATTCTACATCATAATTGAAATATCATAAAGAGACGTTTATCCATTGTCTAATCCTTATTTTGTTGATCGATAAATTTTGATCATCATTTTATTTAACAAACTTTGACAAAAAAAAAAAAAAACAATTAGGAAACATATACAAGAAAGTATCAAAAAATGGGAGAGAGAGAGAGAGAGAGAGAGAGAGTAATTCCTAAGTAAATGTTGCACATTTCAAAATTACAATAACATTTCTTTTAAACCGACTAGCACCTTTTCACCATTTATAGTTGTTTTCTGTCGGCAACAATTCACTAAAAGTTCATTTAAATGTCGTTTCGTAGGACAAAGATCACTGAGATATTGCTGTATAATTGATTCTTTCCAAGACTGTCGAAGAGAAAACAGTAATTCTAATCTGTAAAAAGTAATCTTAAAAAAAATTAAAAAAATTTTAATTAAAAAAAAAAAAAGAAAGATCGGTATTGATAACACAAAAATTTTTGTAAGTGTATATAATATGGAAGGATTTACGACTAAACTAACATAATGATTTTCCCTTCTTAATAACTTAGTAATAATAATAATAACTTAATAATAATAATAATAACTTAACTTAATAATAATAATAATAATAACTTAATAACTTAATTTTAAGCTAATTTTTCTTTTTTTCTTTTAAAAAACTGAATTCAAATTTCGTAAAAAAGGTCAAACTGAATTCTAAATTAATACACCAATCTTCACATATAATAAAACCGTGGATGTGACTAATTCAATAATAATTTAAACAAATAAGCACAGTTTTTGAAAACAAACCATCTAAGTTCCATTCGATAAGCTAAAATAAATCATTACAATTAAACTATGCAAACCTTTTAATCGGTTCTTCCGGCAAATCTTCGATGTTTAAGTAACGGATTGTCTTCCCGGTTGTCAGTTCCTCATCAATGAATGCTAATCCTTCCAGGTATTCCTCCTGAAATCTAAATAAAACAATAAAAGGCTAAACTAAAATGACATTTAACCCTTTCATTCAGTGAATATAACATAAGCATCAAATTTGGCAGTCCAATTTATTAAAATATTATTGTTTCATTATTAATTGTAACCTAAAGAGCAAACATTAAGCGAACTTCCATTTAATGTTGACTCAAAAAGTCGAGCAGTTAAAAATTAAAAATCAATAACCTATAAAGAGTTAAAAATCAATAATCTCAATTCGTTAAAATTAAGTAAAGAATTGCGAATAAAGAAAATTACCTTGAATTCAACACCAATTGGTAAAAGTTGTTGCAGAGCTTTTTCGAAAGTATCATACTCGAATTTCACTGCTGCGCGAAGAAGCTGTGAAATTTTTGCTCGACAAATTGCTTTTTCGTTGATATGATACGTCACCGTACCATTTTCTAAAATTTAAAATCAAAGTTATGCCTTCACTACTTTATATTTAAGCATGATGGTTGATGATATCTTATAGATTTAACTATAAATAGAAATAAACTGATGATTTCTTATTCTAGAAAACTCATACATGATCATCATTCAGGACTTCATCAAAATATGCATTTCAAGAAAATCGATTTCTAAAATCCATATAATATATAAGAAATTGCTAATTATCATTCTTAAATATAAAGAAGTGAAGATATTACAAAATATTTAATAACTATAACAAACTATTGATGATTAATAAAATTTATAAATGTACAAATACCTTCAACAACATTGCAATATTTTTTAATCAACCAATTAACTGCTTCTACAGGAATATTCTTGTCCGGAAGGTATTTCTTCAAAGCTTCTTTCAAACATTCCAAACCAACAGATTCAAGAATGATACCTGGTTCTTCATCATCATCCAAACAATCCACAAATGCGGTTACAAGACGATCATGAAATTCTGCTGATAACATCCGTATATATCCTAAAAAAAAAATTAATAGAATACTAAGAATAGGAAAATGTTAAAATGTCTCCAATGATTGAATTTTTTTTTAGCAGAACAAAAAGTATGCGATTAACAAACCATTTAAAGTTATCACAGGTAAGCGCTCGAGAGCTTTCTGTAATTCTACTTCACTCATCTGAACAACATCCAGTAAATCTCCAATAGTAAAACTAAAAGTTTTTTTTTTTTTTGTAAGCTTGGCAATTTTTAAAAAATTAAATAAAATTTTATATTGATGAATTCCTATTTCTTCTAATTAAAATTGGTAAAGAATAAATTTGTTACAAATTACTAAGATCAGCTAACATTACAAAATGCTTCAAGATTATTGCTTACAACTTATCGTTTCTGTTAAATTCCTCATCCCATTCCAATTCACTCTCATGCAACTTTTCTTTCAATCGCTGAACTGATGCAAAGGTCATTTGTCGTAATTCTATAAAATTATTTTTCATTCCTGTAACCTATAAACAAAATATTTTTTTTTTGAAAGAAACACATTTATTTCAGTTAGAAATATTCAGTGCTCAAGTAACTCAAGTAATTTAAGCAAACCAAGATTTCTTTTTAATTTCAAATAAAAGATACCAAATGTAATTAAATAACATATACTTTACTTTTAACCATAAATCTTGAGTAACTACATATATATTTGCCAGTAGTTCACGCTCATTTTACCTGTATAATAGTCTTAATAACTCAATGAAATAAAAATAAATATTATAATCTACAAAATACTAATGGAAAATCAAATACCTTTCTAATTGTTTTAATGCCTTTATTAGCATTTGCTTCATCGCTAAAGTTAAATTCTGGCAAAAGTAATAATACATTTGATGTTACTACTTCCTTTACATCAAATGTAGTATCATGCGTACATAAAACAGGACTATCTTCCAGTTCACCACGAATAACAAGCCTGAAATAACTTTGAAATGCTTAGAATCACATAATTTTTTCTTCAATATAATCAATTTCATACTTTTTACGCTAAAAACAAACCCTCCGAAACAATCTTTTTATTTTCACGAAAGAAATCCAAATTGCTTACTGTTCACCGGCTATTATTCGATCAGCTAATGATGGACTAACTTCAACCAAACGATAATCACCCGAAAGTAATGGTGATGCAAATTCTAAGCATTGTAATTCAGTCTGTAAAGAAAAAAATAAGAAAAAGAAAATCTAAACTGATGGTTAAATACAATTTGAAATCAAAAAATTTGTCACTTTCTAAATTACTTTAGAAAATAAATTTATGAAATGCCGCATAAAATTACTTCTGTATCACTGTTAAATGTTGTTTCAGCCAAATTTTTTCTTGAAATTTTATCATTCTGCATGGACACTTCATTGCTTGTCTGAAAAAACTTCCAAAATGCATGCTTGATAATAAATAATAAAATCTCTCAAATAATAAAATAATAAAAAATCTCTCAAAAGCTTTAATTAAATCAAAAAGTTGACATATACAAGTCATCATTCTTACCTTTATCCTACAATTACGTTGTTTTTTTTTTTATTGTATAGAATGCACTTTTAGGTGCCATATGCTCAACTAAGTTTAACCTTCACTTGGCTTTTTCATTTTACTGCTTCAGATATTCTTAGATATTACTATTTGAAGTTTATCCTTAGGTATTGCTATTTGAAGTTTATCCTTAGGTATTACTATTTAAAGTTTATCCTTAGGTACTACTATTTAAAGTTTATCCTTAGGTATTACTGTTTGCAGTTTATCCTTAGGTATTACTATTTGAAGTTTATCCTAAGGTATTACTATTTGAAGTTTATCCTTAGGTATTACTATTTGAAGTTTATTCTTAGGTATTACTATTTGAAGTTTATCCTTAGGTATTACTATTTGAAGTTTACCCTTAGGTATTACTATTTGAAGTTTATCCTTAGGTATTACTATTTGAAGTTTATCCTTAGGTACTACTATTTAAAGTTTATCCTTAGGTACTACTATTTAAAGTTTATCCTTAGGTATTACTGTTTGAAGTTTATCCTTAGGTATTACTATTTGAAGTTTACCCTTAGGTATTACTATTTGAAGTTTATCCTTAGGTACTACTATTTAAAGTTTATCCTTAGATATTACTATTTGAAGTTTATCCTTAGGTATTACTATTTGAAGTTTATCCTTAGGTATTACTATTTGAAGTTTATCCTTAGGTATTACTATTTGAAGTTTATCCTTAGGTATTACTATTTGAAGTTTATCCTTAGGTATTACTATTTGAAGTTTATCCTTAAGTATTACTATTTGAAGTTTATCCTTAAGTATTACTATTTGAAGTTTATCCTTAGGTATTACTATTTGAAGTTTATCCTTAGGTATTACTATTTGAAGTTTATCCTTAGGTATTAGTATTTGAAGTTTATCTTTAGGTATTACTATTTGAAGTTTACTCTTAGGTATTACTATTTGAAGTTTATCCTTAGGTATTACTGTTTGAAGTTTATCCTTAGGTATTACTATTTGAAGTTTACCCTTAGGTATTACTATTTGAAGTTTACTCTTAGGTATTACTATTTGAAGTTTATCCTTAGG